CTGCCCTTTTGTTCATGGAGGCCATGGAGACCCCACAAAATGGACTTGAACCAGTGTCCAGTCTACAAAGAGGAAGGTCAACTCAGAGGAAGCATCTCATTCATGCTTCCAAGTGAAGCCAGACATGGTCGAGCAGGACCATTGACTTATCTGCACATAGATGGAACTGGTACAAGAGTCAGGACAAAGGCTCCTCCCAAGACCACATGACCCCTGAGGAACAGATCCTCAAATGGCCTTAAGAGTGAAAATAATTTCTCATTGATGATTTTGTTCCTAACCAGAAAGTGCTGCTCAGATGTAAGACTTCAAATCTTGGTCTCCAATACTGTAGTGCCCACCTGCAGCTAAGGGATACAACCAGCTATTGTTCTAAAATGATGGATAAATTTGCCACCACCCCCCATCTAGAAGCCTTTGAGAGGGAACTGACACTGATCCTAACCACTCCAACAGCCATCAAAATACCTGAAAGCAAATCCTGAATTCATCACTCTTGAGTCCAGCCTTGGAAAACAGGAGGAAAATGAGGAAGAACCCAATAAAGGGATGCTTTTGGAAACTCTTGTCAAGAAATTCCAAAGGACTCTCATATGAACATTTGAAAATTGCCCTGTTCTGACTTTTTTCTAGTTCCCAGTCTAGAACTTGTAATGCTAATTACTCTTGCCTTTACTTTTTCACATCTCCTAGACACGATTCAAGGACTTTCTTTTACCCCTAGAGATAAGAGTTATGCAGTTTTGGAGTCTTTTAGGTAGACCCACTAAATGGGCACTCCAATTGCCTCACCCTGCATCCTTGTTCAGCATAGAAGAAGCCAGAGTGGTCTGCGCCCAATTCCCTATTGGCAATTTGGGTAACCTCTTCAGAGGATGGTGTGATAAGAATAGGAGGTAGAGGCTGGGTGTGGTGGTGCACGCCTTTAGTCCCAGCACTCAGGAGGCAGAGGCAGGTGGATCTCTGTGAGTTTAAGGCCAGCCTAAACTGGCAGTTGTGACTGCTGGGAACTGAATTATGGTCCTTTGGAGGAGCAGGAAGTATTCTTAACCACTAAACCATCTTCAGCCCTCAAAGTTTTGGAGGTTTTTTTGTTTGTTTTCTTGACGCAGGGTCTCATTTTATAACCCTGCCTGGCCTGAACTCACAGTCTACAGTGAGTTCCGGGCCAGCTGGGGGCTACTGGGGAGACCCTGTCTCAAAAAAGACCCAAAAAAAAGAATAGGAGGTAGGAATTGGCTAGGCAGTTAGGGTAAAAAGACCCCCAAAGAAAAGTAGCCAGTTTCTTGACTAAAAGTCAAAATGTCCTTGGGCCTCTTAGCAACATAATTTGTTCCAAAGGCCAAAAATGTTGAAAGTATTTGGGAGCTTGTATCTAATCCTGAAAAGATTTTAGGGATACCTCTTCAGAGGGGGGAATGTTAAGAGTAGCCAAAAGCCCCACAAAAATAAATCAATCAATCAAAGGAGAAGAAAGAGTATATGAAGTTATCAGAAAAAAAGTGATGGGGAGATATGGGAGGAATTGGAGGGGAGGGAGTGGGCATGGATTTGATCAAAACACCTTATAAGCATTATGAAATTCTCAATAAATTATTTATTTAAATTAAAAAAGAAAAAAAAAAGCTGGCCTTGACCTTACAGAGATCTGCCTGCCTCTGCCTCCCAAGTGCTGGGATTAAAGGCATGTGCCACCATGCCCAGCCATGTATCAACTAATTTTAAAGATTTATTTCATTATTTGTTTATGTGTATATGTATGTGTACATGTGTGTAGGTGGCCATGGAAGCCACAGGAGGGCACCAGATCCTCTGCATCTGCAGTTACAGGCAGTTGTGACTGCTGGGAACTGAACTATGGTCCTTTGGAAGAGCAGGAAGTATTCTTAACCACTAAACCATCTCCAGCCCTCAAAGTTTTAGAGGTTTTTTTTGTTTGTTTTCCTGAGGCAGGGTCTCATTTTATAACCCTGCCTGGCCTGAAACTTGCTATGTAGACCAGGCTGGCCTCAAATGCAGAGATCTGCCTGCCTCCTGAATGTCAAGTGCTGGGATCAAAGGCATGTGCCACCAAGCCCAGCCTCAAAGAACTTTTTGTTTTTTAATGTGTATGAGTGTTTTTCCTGTTAATAGGTAAGTATACCCATGTGCTTGCAGGACCTGTGAAGACCAGAAGAGCAGGCACTAGATTCCCTGGAACCAGAGTTATAGATAGTTGTTAGTCACCTATGTGGGTGTTGGGGACTGAACCCAGGTCCTTTGCAAGAGCAGCCAGTTCTCTAAACTGCTGAGCCACCTCTCCAGTTAAAGAACTAATTTTAATGACTATCTTTGTTTTATTTTGTTTTGTATTTGTTTTCAAAACAAAAAAGATTTTAACTGTGGGTCTGACATTAAAAACAAGCATCAACAGCACTGATTGACAACAAAGACTACAAGACTACGTCCTGACTTGTCTTCCTACCTTACTTGACTGCAGTCTCCTGCTGAGTGGTGATTTAGTACACTCACATGCTGACTCGTGCCCACTTTCTGGTTTTAAATTTTGCACTGCCCAGATGCAAACAGGTCACCTCCATGAATATTTTTAATAACTAAGGTTTTGTAGCAGTACTTAGTGTCCAACAGAAACAACTCCATCTGCTAAATGGTATCCTTACTGCAAAGCTTCTCTTACTGTTGCTAGATAGATAATGCCACTGCACAGACATTATCGTCATGGCAACAGTATGATCTTTTTTAAAATTTGTTTGGTTTTGAGACAGGGTCTCCCTAGTAGCCCCAGTTGGTCTGGAAGTCACTATGTAGATCAGGCTGGCCTCAAACTCACAGAGATCCACCTGCCTCTGACTCCAAAATGCTGGGACAAAAGGTGTGCATCACCATTCCCAGCAATGACTATGTTTAAAAGTAATGATGATAATCAATGGTTTAGGCCACATTCTAAAAGGAGTACCAAACAGTAAAAACATGGGTTAAATATACATTTAGAGGCAGATGCTGAAGTATTTAGGGAAAAGTATCCCTATTTGCAATTCATTTTGAAATGTACCGAAACTAAGCTGGACTAATAAATGGATCAGAAAAGTGTCTTGATGCTGGCACTTCTGTCATCTTGAGGCATCTAGACTGCATCTGGTTTTGTTATAAGAGGAAGTCCTTAAACTGGCTGAAGGATAGCTCCAAGCCTTTCAGCTTTCCTGGTCTCTACCTGTTAAGATTAATGTCTCCAGGCACACCAAGTGTCCTGGGGGAGGATGGGGCAGCAGAGCTGCCTCTACCAGACTAGAGAGATGATATAAACACATGACAAAATAAATAAATAAAATGTTCATAGAATTTCAGTAAATTTGCTAGCTTTTCTGTGTTTCAAATTTTTCTTAAGAAGTTATTGAATAAATAAATATAAAGCCACCAAACAGAAAGCTGCCTTCAAATGCTCTCTACCTGCTAGTATAGCACCAATGCTCAACACTTAAAGGTAACTCTTCAGAGTTCCTTTTAGAGTCTACTTCTAAGGAAAAGGCAACATCTTTACTTAACATCAACATCTCAAAATAGGGCACAACCCAATGTCTTGCTAATTTTACTAAGCAATATGGTTCAAAAGATTTTTCCTGTTTCTAAAAGTAAGTCTATTCCCTTTTCCCTACTGAGCACACAGAACAATACGCTCTCAATTTAGAAGGAACTGAGAATAGGCTGGGTCACTGTGGGTGCACACCCACTAGTGTCTGTGGCTATAGGAGCCTTAACAGACTGCTAAGCCCTGCAAGCCTGGGGCCCTACTTCAGAAAGCCAGGGCCAAAACAGCAGCCTGGAGGGCTATTGTGAGGATTCGCATAGTACTTGGCACACAGAAATATTGTTAATACTATTCCATTTCTCAGGAGTCACTGCTTAAACCAGCAGCAAACTAGCACTAACTTACACTTAGCATGAAACATTAATGAATTTCTCCTTCGTTTCCTTCCTGGGCAACACATCTTTGTTCTCTAGAGTGAGAGAGTGGGGGCAAGTCTTTCTAGAAAGTGCTTTCTCTTATGCTTACAAAATGCTTCCTGTTTCTTCCCTGAAAATAATATATATATATTATATATTTTATTTTTAACATTTATTCGCGTGTGTGTGCGTGTGTGCGTGTGTGTGTGTGTTTCCACATGTGCCTGTGTCTCAGCAAGCATGTGGAGGTCAGAGAACAACTTTCAAGCGTTGATTCTCTCCTTCTACTATATGGGTTCTGAGGCTTGAATTCAGGTCGTCAGGCTTTGCAGCAAGCACCTTTACCCCCTAAGCCATCTTGCCATAAAAATACACACACACACACACACACACACACTTTTTTTTTTTTGAGCCAGGCTAGCCTGGAACTCACTATGTAGATGAGACTAGCACTGAAATTGTGATCGTCCTGCCTCTACCTCTCAGTGCTGGGGTTCCTCTCTCAAAATACTAACAGTATATGGAAAGCACCAGGTATACTTTCAGGTATATACTGGTTAAAAAGGTTTTGCAAAACTGGGCAGGTCAGCTAGCCACCATTTGCACATTTCTTGTTTCTAAGAAAAACTAAGTGAGAGTTCCAAACGAACTTCTGCAACTCAGTTGCCTACCTAAGCTAGCTCAGATCATAGCTCTCAGCACAGGGCCCTTGGGAAGCTGTGGTGCTCTTCCTGCTTGTCTTGATGATTAGGGAAGCTACCAGACATTCAAAGGGGAAAGTCCTCAGAGACGTCCTGCAATGCTCAAAAATGCTCTGCACACAGCAGACATCTGTCATTCCCCACAGCAGTTTGAAATACCTGCCCAACACTGATACTGGGAAAATCTGGTTTGCCAACATCTATCTTACATGTAAATCCAAAGCATGGCTGCTGTGTTCACAGAATTTCTCAGGAGCACAATTACCATGTAAACCTAGGGCAGAGGGCACTACGTCTAGTCCAGGACTTTCCCAGGAACTGTTTCCATTTGCGACAATAAGTAACCAAGCCCCTGTGGGATCTGAGCTACAGGCTCATCATTTCTTAGCACTGGTCTGCATTTACACCTGTCCCATTTACAATGGCTCTACACAGTGCAGGTAAATGGACCAGCTTTACTCATGAGTCCACATACTAAAATATGTAATATTTAGCTACAAGTTACTTTTCTGCTTTCCCACCACCTCTGTTAAAATTAGTACACTATGGGCTGGAGAGATGGCTCAGCAGTTAACACTGGTTGTTCTTGCAGAAGACCCAGGTTCAAATCCCAGCACCCACATGGCAGCTAACAACTGCCCGTAACTCCAGTTCCAGGGCATTCGACAGGACATCTCCAAGGGCATTGCACGATACAGGTGCACTTACCTACATGCAGACAATACACTCATACACATAAAATTAAAAAATAGTAAGTAAAAGTTTTTTTTTCTAATTAGTACACTAAAGTACTCTGAAATTACATGCACAGGGAAATTTTATCATCTTTGAATTCTTTTACAGGTAGAAAAATGGGTACATAAAATGGTCGTTTCAGGGCTGTGTACGGTGGTGCACATCTATAATCCCAGAACTTGGGAAGTAGAAACAGGAAGATAAGGAATTCAAGACCAGCTTCCACTATATGAGACGCTATCTTGGAAACTAAACGAGGGGCTGGCAAGAAGGTTCAGTAGGTAAAAGCACTTTCCACTTTGCCTCAAGATCTGAGTTGGACTCTGTGGGGTCAAATTTCTCCTTCTACCTTCAGGTAGGTTTCAGGGATTGAGTGCACGTTGGCCAGTTTGCACAGCAAGTGCAATTATCCACTGAGCACCTCATCAGTTCCAGTGTAATCTTATCATACTTAAATTTCTCTTGTATAAAAAACTATGCTGGACGTGGTGGCGCATGCCTTTAATCCCAACACTTGGGAGGCAGAGGCAGGCAGATCTTTGTGAGTTCGAGGCCAGCCTGGTCTACACAGTGAGTTCCAGGACAGCTGGAGCTACAAGGAGACCCTGTCTCAAAAAGACAAAAAAAAAAAAAAACTTAACTTGTGGGCTACAGAGTGGAAGGAAAGACAGTGCTGAATGTTGTCTTCTGCCCTCTATATCTGTGTCATAGCTTATGCTCACCCCATAACATAAAACAGATCAATATATAAATGCTTAAAACAAAATTAACCTAGGATTTTGGTCTTTACTGTCTTCATGCTGGAACACAAAGCCTGGTATCATGGGTGAGCACACTTTTCCTGAAGTCACAGAATCTGCTCCCACTCTTGCCACTAACTACTAACCATCACAGCTAGACTCTTCCTGCTTCGTTACAGGCTTGTCCCAAACAAAGAAGCTCTGGCACCACTGCCAGTTGGGCAGGGTGTCTAAGGGATCATCCTCTCCAACACACAGGCTTGATGGCCACTTACTGTTTGGAAGGAAGGTGGGAATTACCTGATCAGAAAGCTGGCTTGCTGCCTGCTCAATTTCTGCTCTGGCAGCGATGGACTGGCCACACCATGGGGCGTAGAAGAACAGCAGCACCACCTCGGAATCCCGGCGAACATGCTCTGCATAGTCCAGTTGTCCCTGGAAGAGGTCAAGGACTGGAGACCTCGAGGAGAAAAAGCTGACAGGTGGCTTTGCCGGTATTATCACATCTTTTGCTCGACTAAAAGAGAGTAAACACAAACAAGACTTCTTAGCTTACTTTCTTCTTCCATTACAGCTTTGTATGGAAGGAAAGTGAAACTTTAAAAAGGAAGTATCTTTTGAATAATAAAAACAATTCCCAAATCACTGTCCTGAAGCAAAAAGCAATACACCGTGCTAAGGCAATATCTGGCTGAGGCAATGCATATATGATTCTAGGGTACCGCCCCTGCCAGTGTGGGCCCAGAGAGCTGTGGAGTATGATCCATGGTCTCCCCTAAGTGTTCCAAGGTGCCAGCCTCACCTGGTTGTAGCCTGACTCTGCACAAAAGCACTGGTCTCCAGGGTATTGCTGCCACCAGCTCTGGAACTCACAAGAGTGCCCAGAAGCATAGGGAGAACCTGAATATGCCATCTCTGGTATAGCTCCTATGGGATACACTTACAGTTGCCCAGACTTTGAGGAAACATTGTTTATTAAGTGGAGTTGGCCTGTAGCCACCCAGAGCATTCAGGCAAAGGTAACAAATTATAATGTGAACTGAACCATGTACAGACCATAATCCTAAGGGTGAGAAGGATGAACAAAGCAGGAATCTGTTTAACTGGAAATGTTTCCTACAGGAGAAATACAGAAGAAAGAAAAGTATACTGAACTTAAGTGAGAGTCAGAGGAACCACAACTTTCCCATCAGGTAAACAGGTTTTGCCTGGGGCTGCATCCCAAGTTACAAGGTAGAATAAGCACCAATGGACTTTCATATGAACATTTGAAAATTTCCCTGTTCTTTTTTCTAGTTCCCTATCTAGAACTTGTAATGCTAATTAATTACTCTTGCCTTTACTTCTTCACATCTCCTATTCATGATTCAAGAACTTCTTCCCTTAGAAACAAGAGTTATGCAATTTGGGAGTCTTTTAGATAGACCCACTGAAGGGGTACTCCAATTGCCTCACCCTCGTCCTTGTCCAGCATGGAAGAAGCCAGAGCGGTTGGCGTCCCTATTCCCTATTGGCAATTTCGGTAACCCCTTCAGAGGATGGTGTGATAAGAATAGGAGGTAGGAATTAGCTAGGCAGTTAGGGTAAAAAGACCCCAACAAAATGTAACCAATTTCTTGGCTAAAAGTCAAAATGTCCTTGGGCCTGTTAGCAACATACTCTGTTCCAAAGGCCAAAAATGTCAAAAGTATTTGGGAGCTTGTATCTAATCCTTAAAAGATTTTAGGGTCACCTCTTCAGAGGGGGGAATGTTGGAGGGGAGGGAGTGGGCATGGATTTGATCGAAACACCTTATATACATGTATGAAATTCTTAATAAAGTTTTTGTAAAATTTTTTTTAAAAGGCCAGGCATGGTGGCACACGCCTTTAATCCCAGCACTTGGGAGGCAGAGACA